ACGCTGCGACGCGACGCTCTACTCGTCTGGATCTCTAAGGCTTAGTCATATGGGCTGCTGATATTTCGCCGCACCGTAGCAGTTTCGAAATACAGTAATACCGCGGACCAAGCCTACAAAGTGCCGCACTGCCGCGTGGTCCCCCCCCCAACTAAGTTAGAACCAAAAAACACTTAATAGTAAGAAATCATACAGCGATCCTGGTAAATTGTGAAAAATATATGGAACGAGAAATCGCAATGACCTGTATCAGATACACGTACAGAGTAGATATCACTCACTAGTGATAGCTAGGCTAGTGGTTTTAATTGCAAAATGCCTAAGGTTACAAAAACAGTATTAAGCTCGAATAGTTAAAATTATGACACAACGCGTGTGTTTCATAACGGGTAACCGGATTTCGTAGATGGTTGCAAGGACGTTCCCTCATCGTCCAAAAAACTGAGCGATTGACTGGGCGAATCTGAAACACATTAATTGAGGCATATTAAAAAACTAGTGGAAAGGCAGAATACTGCTGTTCCGGTGCGTAGAGAGAGGTCACCGCGCGACGTCGCGTACTGTCGCAGTCCGAGTTTGCGTTACGGGTGAGGTTGGACACCCTCGCGGTGTGTGTGGCATGTTTGCGACCTTTTGCTACCTACCTTCGTTTTAAGGAAACACTAATACTGCAAGCTCCAGCATAAGCGCATAATAATGAAAATCGCGAGAAAAATAAGCTCCTTGACGTCACTCACTTCTTGGCAATTGTCCATTTCGGAACTTGTTCTTCAGAAGAACTCGAACAGTCTCCCGATCAACCTGAAAATCCTAGTAGTCGACGACTGACATAGCTTCAACGAAATATCTATCGAGTAGGTTTCAAAATTGTAGCCGATTCCTTCAGAGGGCTATTCCACACAGGGCAGGGTATGGAAGCCACAGGGCAGCGTCGAAATTATATAAGAAGGACGCTAAGAAGGCATTGGCCACACCGTCCCGTCATTAGTGATCCCGATCTTCTTTCAGCGGCTTGAGAGGTGTGGCTGAATCAGGGTCAACCGTAGCGTTCGCACCTTTCGAGAATTTTGCGACCCTCCCCCTTCTCAGGGGGATCTCGATGCGACCACACCACCACCTCCACGAGACCAAGAAAGCTTCCCCTATACCCTCCCCCAATACGAACCCTGCTCCTCCCTACCCCAGAACGCCACCTTCACCATCATGGCTTTCTATGACCCGTCGAGTCGGCATAGTCCAACTCCGCCCACTTTTTCCTGCAAAACGGCCGTCAAGCGGGTGGAAGGGGGGGGGGGGTAAAATGGTATAATGGAGCGACAGATCCTCCAGTTTTGCCTACTCCAGAC